TCTTCACAAACAGTCGAGCGAACAAAGACACATTGTTTGTTGATGACATCAGCAGAGGCACCAACAGCAGGAGCAGATGAATTATTGAGCTGACTGGATATCATGGTTTTACTTAGTTGCAGCATCTGGTCCTGTTGTTGCACAGCTGCTTTGCATCTGTCGGCCTAAAAATATGACATTTCAGTCCGTCTGCATTTTGCAGGATCATCACTGGAGTCCAACTGTAACACATCATCTCTCTCACACACCCAACCACAACAATCCTACACCTCTACTCACGAGGACATCACACCCTCCTCCTCCTCTTTTCCCAAAACTAATCAACCATAAAAGCATTGCCAAACCGAGAAGAGCTCCTGATGGAAGAGCAGGTGAGCGCGCCAAGGACACACTCGGCAAATGAGCCAAACGAGCCAACCGCCGGCAGTGACGGCATCGAGGGAACAAGCGAGGAAGACCATCATCCAACATTGCACTTTGTGATTGCTCACTGATACTCCTCCGGGTGAGGTGATCTTTGCTCGGTACCGCTGTAATCATAGCCTGTTTTCCTAATGCTTTTTCACTAAAACATTTATTCTAGTAGGAGGAGGAGGTCTCCAAACAACAGCTGTTCCACCTCTGTCCTCTCAGATCTGCCAGGCTGAGGGGGAAAGTCTGGCAAGCGGGGGCAGAGGGGAGGGAAAATAATAAAATAAATAAATAAAAAACGGGCCATGAAACTGAAGGAGTACGCACCCTTGATCCTTGATTTACTCACAGAGGGGTGAGGGGAGGACAGCAGCTCTAAAAATACCCCATAAGGAGAGAGGGAGACAGAGATGCAGACACTGGGGAAGGTTTGGGTGAGAGGGGGGCAACAGAGGAGGAAGAGGAGAAGAAGTAAATGCTTGTTTTTGCTTTACTCGCGACTGTAAAAAAAAAAAAAAAAAAAGCAGCATCTTAAGTTTCTGTCCTAAAAATACACCTCCCTCGTGACAGAAACCTCACAAGGAAGCCGGGTGGAGGGTTTTTTTTTTTATTTTGACAGAGGGGGCTGCTTCCTCTCTGGTGCCCATCATCCCTCCTTCCCTCGGTCAATCCCTCCCCCCTCCTCCCCCCCGTCCCTTTCATGAAAAAGATGTCACTAAAGACCCAAACAGCCAGAGGGGTTAGCATGAAGGGGAATGATCGGCAGAGGAGAGGGCAGAACAATGTCCTTCTTTTTTTATGTTCCTCAGCGGCTAATTCATGTCAGGACCAGTGGCCCAGATACTGGGGCCGACCAAGGGAGTCCACTATAGCAGCACCAGAGGCTACAGGCCACGGCCTCGCACAAACACACTCTGTTAGCGACTGTCAGCGCTGTCTGTTGGCCGACAGCATACCACAGTGCGAGCTGCAGTCTGTGGCGGGAGGAGGACGCGGTTTGGCGTTGTGAAGTATGAAGAGAGTGAGGCATCTGTCATTTCATATCTGTCTCAAACTTTTGATCAACGTGCAAACAGAAAAGGAAACCTAATTTTATTGAGGAGATTGCCTGAGAAGGCTGTGCAATCAAACTATATACAACACCCTGAGTTATTAGAGAGGGAAAACCTCAGAGGAGGGATCGCTTCTCAAGGATCAACAGGCATTAGATATGATAAAAGTAAAATCAAAATCTGATCAGTTGAATCAAGGGACTAATTAAAGAAGGGCTGCACAATATATTGCTTTTTTATCATCATCAGGATGTCAACTTGTGCCATAGACACACTGCAAACGACTGCAATATTGCACTCTGAGATTTTTTGAGTTGGTTAAAAGAGAGTATGTGTAGAAAACTGCACTTTAAGACATAACTTGATGCGTTTGTGTTCAGGTCAGTGTTCAATTTGCTCAATAAAAACACTGTAAACCCTATATGTTACATTCAACAAGCAATCTGTTGGAGTTTAGCAGCATAAAATCCAACTTATACACTTTAATATCTGTTCATTCATCACAAGTTAGATCGTTATCATGATATTCAGCAACATTATCACATATTTTCCTCAGACTGTGCAGCACAACTTGCTGCTTTTCTGTTTTATATCTTGTAAACCGAATATCTTTGACTCTGGGACTGTCAATTGGTCAACACAAGACATCTGAAGACATCACCTTGGATTCTGGGAAGTAGTGACAGACAGTTTTCACTCTTCTGTAGACACAGTTTGCTGCAACAATGACTCCTTAAACCTGAAAGCGAGTTAGCAGATTAGCACTTCCAGTTCCCTTATATTGCAGTCAGTGGGTTTATGGTTAATTGCTTGACATAAGGTCTGTGGTTAGCACAAGCTTAAGAGACTTTTAGGTTTTGTTCTACAACATAAAATGCGTCTAATACCCCACTTGTGAATTTTGAAGCTCTTACATGTCTTACAAAAAACTAAACGAGACCACAGAACGTTGTCACGCCGCCTCGTTGAGGTGGTGACGTTGAAGTCTTGTGATAGTGATGTTGATTTGTGAGGAATACCTTGCTGAAAAGTAGCATACACATTTTCCACAGAGCTTATTTTCTGTGATAATTCAGCTTCCAATGGAAAAATCCCACTGGCTTTTTGACAAGGGAACCAGAGTGATGTTAACTTCTGAATTGGCTTACAAAAGACGCCATCCCTGCACCGCTCTATTCCATACACTAACAGATTAATTAACTGACAGCAGATCCCGAGTTGCAGCCTGCAGAAGGCATCGTGTGTGCTTCCTTCAGTGCAGTTGTGTTTAATGCACAGAGGTTCGTGTCACAGACATTTAACAACCAACCAGTGAAAACTTTATGAGCCGTCTGATTAAAAAACATGAAGCGTGATGACATTTTTTAAAAGCCTTAAACTGCTTCGACCTTGACAGCCTCATCAGAAGAAGCTGCTGAACACTGATACCCTCCTTCCTTTGTGCCACCCTCACACACACACACACACACACACACACACACACACACACTCCTCCACCCCCTCCCGGACGGATAGTGGAAAATACTGACCCCACACACGCCGAGTGAGACAATGACCCAATAACGGATAGAGCGTGAACCTGAGAGGCGGCGAGGTAAAGGCATCCCCCAGCCCAGATTGACCGAGGATCTTCACTTGTTTGAGTAGTCAGTGACACTGATATCCACCGCCTGTGTCACACACAACTTAGTGGTAACCGTATCCCCCCGCAGGGCCCCAACTTACTACTTCCATCTTCCCCTCTGCTGACAGCTGACCATGAGGAGTGATGAATGGAGAGGTCACGTAGCCGGCCGGGCACACAAAGCACCCGATATGTACGATATGTACATTCTGACATGAACACACAGACGGGCTTTCTGCCTTTTCACAGCAAGAATGTCTGAAATGAGCATCGGAGTTGAGTGATTGCAAGCTTGGAGCATTTCAAAAAAGCAATTAAATGTTTTGCTGCTGCATGTGTGCAAAAACTTGGGCTGCATTTACTGAGTATTTCATATTTTTTTGTCTGTAAATGTCAAAACTTTACAACAAATGTCCATCACACATTCCCAGAGCCAAAGTAAAGTCATTACACTGCCTATATCATACAAGCAACCGTTAAAAAAAGCCCAAAATACTCAATTTGCAGTTATTTGAAGAAGAGAAAAATAGCAAATCTTTACATTGGAGAAGCTACAATCACGAATTCGTCTGTCTTTTTGCTTCATTCACTCCAAAAGTCCATGTCTCCAAATCATTGCTCTCAATCGCGGAGTGTTACATTCTTCTTATTTCAACCTGTTTACAATAAAAACCAACTAATTCTTCCAAAACTTTGTGTCAGAATGTAAAAACAATGACACATTTAGTCACATTGCTGCATTACAATTAGGACAAATGATACAAAATCTTAGGAATTAGTTAAAACTAGTTATTATAAAGTGTTAAAATCTTAATTGATTTAAGAAAATATGACTTTTACAACTCAATCAAAGCTCAGTTACTTGGTGAGAAGTAAATTCTCACTCTAAAGAGTCATAAACTACTTTTCTCTTGGCTGCTTGGTCGATTAAAGGACAGCAAACTAAAAGAAAGTCATGATTATTGACAGTATTTAAAGACTTTAATCATCTCTTTTACTGTTTCCCACTGTGACTCACAGTGACCAATAACTCTTATTTTGACAGATCACTCAGCTGTTCTGGGAATCAAACCTGTGACGTTTCCCCCCCAGGACGTCACTCTCACCATTAAACCTCGTTACACAGCAATCTGTTTGGCCTAACAGCTCTGATTGTCAGGACTGTTCCTGTTTCCCACGCTGGCTCTCCAAATAAGGCGCGGGAGCGGGTTTTGATTGGCTCCGCTGCTCTCTTTAGATAAGATAATAAGTTACCTGCCACTTCTTAATCAACACTCTCTTGGAAACCCTTATTTCCCCCCTTCAAACACTGGCACCGCAGCCCCTCCTCTGCCCTGCACACACTGTAACTGAAGCCACACAAACAGCAGCTTGTTTGGTAACTCATCAAACCGAGACACAACTGCGCCGCGGCTGTGCGTAAAAGTCATGCGTCATGCGCGCTCAGGGCTCCGGCCTGATCAGAAACACACACAGACATCCACTCAAAAGCTCAAAGAGAGGAATGCGCTGCCCCTCACGAGATGTTTGATCATGTAGAGACGCCAAAAGTTGCCACGCGGAGGGAAGAATGAGCGGCATGCACAGACCCAGACAGCAATGACAGACTTGTAACAGAAAACTGTGCCAAAATGTGCCAAATTACACTTTGTGCGAGCTGGGCTGAGCATTCAAGGCTGCGTCATGATTCACCACCAAAACATCCAAACTCCCTTTGATAATTCTACATTTTTTTTTGGAACACAGCATGGAAGATTATAAACAGGAAACCATGTTTTATGATGGTGTATGAGTGCTGATGGCGCATCCAGGTGAATGTTTTGCAACTTTTACGCAATCTCTCCTCTGAAATCCAACTTTTAACAACTCATACAACTCTCCACCTGCACACTGAGACACTGGGATCTACTTACCGGCCACGCGAACTGGAAGGGGATGATGATCTTCCCAGCGTCATTGTTCCGGTTCTGTCCGGTTTTCTGTCCGCCCTTGAACTGAAAAGTATTCCCACCGATAACCTTAGTAGTTTCCGAGCCGTAGGTGCACGGTCCGCTGGTCGTGACCTCCGTTTGGTATTCCTTTAAACACACTTTTAAGTACGTGTCGCACTCGTCCGCGCCGCAGTGGCCCTCCGCCGCGCTCTTCTCCGCGTCGCAGCATTCGCCGTTCAGGAGCTGACCTTTGGGGTTTTCCACCGAAATCAACTGCAGCTCGAAGTAACCCGTGGACTGAGACACCTGGGGAGGAGAGTGGGAGAGGCTGAAAAGGCGTGCAGTGCAATAATGTCCTCATTTCTGTTAGAGTCTAATGCAGGTTTCCTGGTGTTTTAAGGGTTAATAAGTCAAATGGCAATTAGGGCATGATCATGAAAATACCAGTTGACCAACCAGAAGTGACATTCCCGTTGGAAACAACTTAAATCATCTCACCATGAGCAGATTTAACAGTAAAGTAACTTATTTTCTGCAGCGTGCAGCCGCTCTGCAGCCCACACTACTGTACATTTGGCACAGTTGAACTCCAGGGCTCGTTAATGAGACCCAGCGCTCCAATTTAGCTCAGTCTGCAGATCAGGCTGCAGCTCAACACTACAAAAGATCCACCTTAACAAAACCTGTGGTCTGAGTCAGAGCCGGACTGTTCCTAAAAGAAGTGGAAACAGCTAACAAAGATTTGGTCGCGCTCTGACTTCTGCGACTGTGCACACAGGTGAAACACTGCAGACATGTGAAGCTATTTCACCCAAATGTTTGCGTCACCGAGCATTTCACAACACTAAAACACCAATTAACGCACTTAATGGCAAAGATGAAACTTAATAGATCACTTAAATCAAATATTATCATAACCTAAGGGTGTATGTTGCAAGAAGGCAGCTGATTACTGTAGTATCTGTGTTCTCTGACACTTAGATGTTTTTAGAAACCGTCTCTAAACTTAATTTATCTCCCGAGGGAAGCGCACATTTAGAAATTCTAAGATCACATGATTCGACTGCCGAGCAGGCGATTCAATTAAGACTGGAATTTAACCCCCTCCAAAAAGCAAACTTCCACTCGATTGATAAGTTAAAGTACCAATAAAAAAATCATGTCCCTGTGAGATGAGTCAGATGAAGTTCTCACCTCAGCCCACAGCGTCAGGAGAAGACACACTAGAGAGAAGCGGTGCAGTTTCCCCAGATTATTCCACATGTCTCCGGCTGCTCGGTGTTGGTTACCATGAGGGAAATGAAGAATATCTATGTCTCAATCAGTCAAAATAATAATGAAGAAGAAAGGCAGTATCCTCCTCCTCCTGGTGTCCGAGGCATGCACGGCGCGGCTGCTCCCCGGGATGCCTGCGGCTCTGGAGGAGGAAAGGCGCACCGCTGCTGCTGCTGCTGCTGCTGTTTGGTCCACGGACGCACAACAAGACGCGCGAACTCCACTTCCCTCCGCCGCTCGACGCACTAAACAGCAGAGAAGGGGAGCAGCGGTGCGTCTCTGTTGCCAAAAGCCAGAGTCGGGCGCTCCCCCGATGATGGACAGCAGCGTGCACCAATCACAAGCCGCCTGGGTGGGACGTTTGTAGTTGAGAGCCAATCAGAGAGCAGGGGCGGGAAGGAGTAAGGGGAGGACCGCTGATGGATTTATTATCCAAGTTTTCTCACACAGGAGCTTGTGTTTGTCATTTTATCACGCTCACATTGTAAAATGCACCTTTATTGAACATATTTGTCGCTCTGTATTAATATCCAAGAGATTAATCTGGGTCTAAATATGTTTCTGTTGCAGCTTCTACACAGGATTGTAATTCATATATATATATTAACACATAAAACAAACACACAGGTCAAGCTTTAAATGTGACCCATAAATAATCAATAAAAACACGCAGAGTGTGGAACATGTTGTGTGTAGTGACGGACACCTGAGCTGCTGCTCACTGGCCTGCAGGCACAGGAAACATGGCTGTTAGCGCCCTCTACTGACCGCTCAGCAACACCAAATACAGTGCAGAGGTCAGAGGAACATGATCCACTACATTTAATCAAATACTGGAGTTTATTAGGTATACTTGTGTATTTTCATTTGAAGAGGACTTTTTATTTTTGCTCCACTCCATTTCAGAGACATTTCGATTTTGTTTTGTACTTTATATCCTAGAAAATTAGTAGTTCTTTCCCTCCTCTTTCAGCTGATTTTAAAACATAAAGAAGGCATGCTTTCTATCTATCTATCTATCTATCTACAGTGTATATCTATCTATCTATCTTGGACATACAAAGTTGCATGTGGATATCCAGGACACAACGTAAAAGGTAAATACATGAACATTAAAACAACAGTTATGAAGGATTTAAAAAAGCTAGAAAGCATTAAAGAAACATTTAGTCATTTCTGACGGGGAACTGAGCTCACAGAAAAACGTGTCTATGCTCTGTTCTAGCACTGCCCTCGACTAAGAATTTTCCTAGTAGACCAACAGTTGTCATTTAGGTCCATCAGTCGACTAGTCTCCTGCGTGTTTACGATATGAATGTAATTATTAAATGATATATTTTGGTGGTTTGAGTTGAAGGTGTGAGAAAGAATAGTATCAGTAACATTGTTAACACTGTGCTACATTACAGAGAAATACAAAACCGTCCTAAGGAACCTTCATTAATATAGGCCTATATTTTATCTACAAGTGCACGTCACACACTAAGCGAGCCGCCTGTTAATGACGCTGTGGGCTAATGGGCATGTAGCTGCTTCCATGTTTCAGATGATACGTCATGTTTGTAGTCGACCAATGAAGATGAGTTTACATATCACCTTGGGTTCGTCCTTCACCTTCTCAAAATGATCCCACACTTTGGATTTCCTGCCCGACATGTTATTAACTAGCCTGTGGAATAACCGCAGGTACCAGCCCTGGAGATTAACCTGAGCGTGGACACTTCCTGTGTCTGTCCTTTCACATTAAATTCACACATGGTCCAGTCATATAGGTTTGGATTTATTTTGACAAAGTTCAGTTCCTCATAGTTTCATGTTTTTGTTCTTTTTTGTGACTAAGGGACCGATGAAATACTGACGACTAATTGAAAACTGAGGAGATGCATTACTTTTCAATTAAAAGATAAAATGGACAAGTTATTAGAAACAGAACATGTCTTCAAACAAAAGTCTGTATGGATCATTAGGGGGACTAACCTGAACTGTTAACTTGTTGATATAGTTATGTTTATGAAATTGGCCCCACATTAGGAAATCTAAATCATGACAGCTTCCCTATAATTGACAGAAATTTGTAAATAACTTTGCAGGACACCTGTAAGCTGCTGTATGCCCAAACACCTTTGGGGTATTGTGACAGTACACCCAAATTTTAAACTGTCAGAATCTCAATGTGATGCTAAGTGCTCCAAGGATTCATGTTTCTGCAAAACATTATTTACAAACGAGGCCAGCGTTCAGCACCAATAAATTAAGTTTAAGGGGTAGTGAAGGGGTAAACAGAGCGTCCAACTTAGACACCTGAGAGGCCAAACTGTGCCTCGTCTTGAACAAAAATCCAGTTGTAGTAAAACTATCAAACGCTCAACACCTGCAGGCTTTGAAAAGTGGCTTTGATAATGTTGTATCTTGTTCCTCTGTGGAGGACGGTAGCTGTAATTAGCCTAAATTTAAAACTGTTACAATGGATTCTAATGGAGACCAAGTTGTGCAGCAGATTAAAAGTATTAAACACCGTGGAGCTCCCTGAAGGCTGATGGTTTTAAGGTAGCGACCATCAATCCAAACGTCCAGCTGGGGACCAGTCTGCCCTCTCATTTCCCATTATCTCCCTACTGTCAACCCTCTAAGGTTGGGCCAGTTTAAAACACTTCAAATTGGTTTGATATAAAGCCAAACACTGGACCAGTATACAGAATTTTTCATCAGAACAACAATGCCTCCCATTAGGTGTTTGTGCGTTTTAATACAGAATGTCACAATAGAATAACTGTGCAACATTCCTGACTTGAACAGGCCGTATAAAGGAGGCTTGAGATAGCCCTCTTGTCTCCACCCCCTAAAAAACACAAACACAACATATGCCGTGTGCATCTTCATCCCCCCTACGTCTACTGAAATGTGATCTCTTTCATGTTCAGCCTCGCCTCGGCAGTAAACTGCATGAGGCCTGTCTGACACAAGTGGCTCCGTTAGTCCATTTATAAACAAACACATTTCGTCACTTACATTGTCATGTTGCTTATTACTGATGCAATACAAGTTAGATTCAGCATCGTGACGCCATTGGCACAGGTTGCTGATTCAACGCTGGACCTAGCAACAGCGGCTCACCTGCAGCCTTTCATTCTTGCTCTCTATCAATTCTTTTTGTACGATGACACCGTCAGCAGGTTGCTGATGTAGGCTACTCTTTTAATCTGCCAAAACGTGTCATAATGACAAATGCTGGTTCAGCCGATTTGGTATCACTGGCAAAACTGGTTATTGGCCCAACTCTACAACCCTATTAAGATATAAAATGCTCAAAAATAGTTTGTTCTACACACAACTTGTTTGTTGCTAGCGCAGTTAGCTGTTTAGCTCACAAGCAAATGCCTTTACCTGCAATGGACGTCAAAATACAAACACCTATGGAATATATGGAACACACTTAGGCTGCTGTCAGACCTAGAGTCGTCTCCTTTGGTCTGAATCAGGGACTAATTTTGTTCCAAAGTTGTATAATTGCCTAGAGTTGGTTCATGATCTCACGGCAGCATTTACAAGAGGACCAGATCAAATGCCTTGTGTGAGAAAGCTGCTCTTGACTGGTCAGAATTTCCATGCCGGAAAAATCCAGGAAGTAAAGCAAACGTTGAAGAAGAGTACACTTGCAAGATAAATGTGACACTTTCTAATGTCACAATGGAGGGACAACTACGCAGGTTGATTTTAGCGCTGCTCATCGTGGACTATATTGCTGTCATTGTTCATTTTAGTCAAACCATACAGTTTG